ACAATAGTTCATTAATCTTTATATCTGTAAAACTCTATTTTCCAGTATTATATTTCTCTACCAGTGGAGTCTGCTGAAAGTCCCACTGTTTTTCTCAGACTCCCAGCTACCACTCTGAACTTGACAAATTCTTTGAAATAGAGTATGGCCAAATATAGCCATAGCGCTCACATGCCTAGGATTTCCCTCCTTCTGAACTCTGGTCTCATAGAGTCTTAAGTGCCATCTTGTGTCTCCAGCACCTTCACATGGATTTTCTTACCTACTGACCAATTCACTATTGCTCCTGGGGGTGGAGGTGGTGGTGGTTTGAAACAGGCTGGTCTGCCATCTTTGGAAGTGGAATCCTGTCTAATAGACTAAGAATGTCTAAATCTTTACACTCTAGTTACCTTGAATGATTTCTTATCTGAGATGAGGAGATATGCATGAATTAACAAAGAGATTCAATTCAGAAAGAAAGGAAGGATCTCCCAGAAGACCAAAATTGACCACAAATGTAGGTCCTGCTTCTCACAGATGAACAAGACACAAGACCAGAAAATTTGTTTTAATTACTATCTTAGCTACAAGTTAATGAAGATTGCTGTCTTGGTGTCAATGACCTAAAAGTGAAACACACACACTGGCCACAGATAAATTTGTGATATTGTTGAATATTTGTATGTTTTACTTATATAAGTTGTGTGTGTGTGTTTGTGTGTATATATATTTGTGTGTGTGTGTGTGTGTGTGTGTGTATTTGTAGAGTTTCCTCTCAGTTTTCAGGAGGGGTGCTATGTACCCTTAAGGAAGTCTTGGTTTTAATTGCTACTCATTTTAGATGGAGGGAGATATTCTTTGTAATTTTTAGTGCTAGGAGTTTTGATGAATGCATGGAATCCTGTCTACACTATTCCATGTGTTAGTCATCTTTTCAACTTGTAAAAAAACATCTGACATGAACAACTTCAAAGGGGAAGATTTGCTTTTACTCGTGGTATTAGAAGTTTCAGACCATGGATGCTTGATCCCATCCCTGTGGGCTTGCAATGAGGCAGAATATCATGGTGGGGAGCATGTTATAGGGAAAACTGCTCACTTTGTATGGAGAGAGAAAGGGGCAGGGGAAACAGAGGGAGAGAGAGAAGAGAGAACATGCAACAGGTGCTGGGAACAATATCTACCCTTCAATGGTACATCACCCCACCCCATGCACTTAACTTTGTTCAACCAAGTCCCACATCCTAAAATTTCCACCACCTCCCAAAAGTGCTGTCAGCTGGAGATCAAGCCTTTAACATATGAGCTTTTGGAGGATATTTAATATCCAAACCATAACACTCTAGAACTGTGTAGAACAAGTCCTTCATACTGAAATTTTCTCTTGAAACCTGTTTATCACTCTCGTCTAACTGTTGATAACAACCTCAATCTGTTTTTCTTTTCCCAGAAGGATATATGAAAATAGTCAGATAACACACAATTCTCAAACCTATCCTCACTTTAAGTCACCTGGGATAGCTTTCAATAGCCCCAGACCAGGATCACACATTAAACCCTTCAATCTGATTCACCCAAAGAGCAATCAGGTACCAATCATGTCTGTGAAACTCGCCAGGGGATTTCAATGAGCAGCTAAGAGAAGAAGCAGTGGCTCACAGCAGAGGGTTTCAGTATTAGATGTGAATCAAAACCACCCAGGAATTGAAGCAAACTCTGGATCCAGGAAATATCCTAGTCTGCTGTGTAGAGAATTTTGTGAAAACCACCAGCCAATACCAATGAAGATGTATCGCAGATATATAACTCAGATAAATCCTAGAGGAAGGTGTCCACAGCAGCTCAGAGATGGGAATGTTAGAGGCAAAGATTATGTAACTCCTGTCCAATTCTCTTCTCACCATCTCCTCAGAGTGCTGGGAGGATGCTTTCCTCACCAAGGTGTTGATGTACCACTTAGTACAGATAGGTATAAGAATGCTAGGTGTTCTGATTAGTAACCAACCTCGAGTCCTGCATGTTCTGAACTTTTACCTAGTTCCATCTAAAGCCAATTTATGTGTCAGATGCCATCCTTTGAGTAGAAGTCTGGTGCCTCTAAGAAATATCCCTGTACTGCATTTCAGAGAATATTCTTCTTACACAGATTTTGCTGAAGGACATTTAGTCATACAATTATTCACTAAAGAATGAATAATGTCCAAATATTCTGGAATCTCAAATTTAATACCTTTATTTTTATCCCATTTTCTTTAGGGTAAATGCTTTATTGTCTCTTGAATGAAAAAAACATTTCCCTTTGCTAAGGTAGTGAAGGTAGTCTGCCACATTAAATAATATTTTGGAAGAGATAAATACAATTCCATTTTTTTCCACATGAGTAACCAATTGCTCTGAAATAATTCCTTCAAAATTTGTTTTTTCCCATAAATCTCTTAATGTTACCAGTGTTATATATCAACAATTTAAATTACATATAGTGCCAGTTTGTATGTATGCATGTGTTACCTCTATCTCTGTTATTCACACAGTCACACATGCATAATGTCTACATGTGTGTTGTTTGGTTTGTGTCTTTCTACTCTAAGATCTATTTGTCTATCTCTATATCAACACATACTCTCTGTTTATGATAACTACAATGTAAGTCTTCCTGTCTCCTAAGAGAATACAGTCCTATGTTCATCTTGATTAAATTTGCCTTGGCTAATATTCATGTATATTTCCATATAAGGCTTAGAATCAGCTAACCTAGTGTTTCAAAATGTCTAGTGGCTAATTACTTGAGATTTATTAGAATTCTTGCAACATTTTCAGAAATTAATGCCATTGTGATATTGAACCACAAGCCAGATTTTTGGCAATTCTCTTCAGTTAATTAATTGTCTTCTCTACTGAATAAGGTTGATAAAATGTTCCATTTGCTATTTGGAGGAAAATTTGCAGGTCTCATTCTAAAAGTGTGTAAAAGTGTATTTTTACTATTTCAATAATTTTTTGTTAAATTCACATTCTGTTTGCTTCTGGAATATAAAACACTGAAATAAACATATTTATCTAGCAACCACAGGAAACTGTTATTTTTTTTAAATTTTTTTATTAGTTGTTGATGGATCTTTATTTTATTTATTTATATGTGGTGCTAAGAATCGAACCCAGTGCCTTACACATGCCAGGCAGGTGTGCTACCTCCGAGCCATAGTCCCAGTCTGAAACTTATTAATTCCAAGGATTTGAAATGATTTGGGACTTTATGAATTCAACATATTATAATTTGAAATTTATGAGAATTCTGTATCTCTCTTCAAACTCTTCTAACTTTATTTATTTTCTCTTTTGTCTACATTGACGAGGTCTTCAATTATAATGCTTAATAAGAGTATCTGAAAATAGCACCTTAATGCACATTTTGGTGTTCAGATTTCGGATCATGTATGTTAAAGTAGAGCTGTAACCCATAGGAGAACTGGCTGACTGATTCTAAAGGGACAGCCCTTGGGGCCCATTTCAACACAAGGGATCCCTGGTGTCCCACATATGCCCTTTGCAGCTTTACCCTCAAGCCATGAGAGGCTCCCAGGCACTGTCCCAGCCAGAGACACACCCAGGACAAAAGCACAGTGTACTTAACTTCTTATTCTGGATTTCTGCCTCTTGTTCCAGGCCTAGTAAACCTTCAATGCTTTTTCCACCTGTCTGCCCTTTAGCATATTTTTTAAGTATGTGCTTTTCCCCTCTGTTTTCCAGTTGTATTCCATGGGAGGAATGGTCCAAATTAATTGGCCATTGTGGGAAACCAATGAACAGAGTACAATTTTATATGTTAGCATCAAAAATCAAGGAAGAAAACCATAAGCACCAATAATGTCCATCTAAGCAAGTGTAACTTGGATGTAATGAAAACAAAATGCTCCATAGAATCTCTATATGCAATAATTAAAATACATTTCAATAATGATGACTTAAAAATTGTAATTTAGCATGTGACTATGATCCTGATTGACAAACATGGGAGTAAAGGAAACATATTTGAACACTAAATTGAAAAACACATGCACAGTAAACATCTGGAAGTTGGAACAGTGAGTGGCAGTGTGAGTTGAGCATGTGCCAAGGGTCCAGGGACAGCAGCAATGGCCTATGTTACACAAGGGCATGAAGACTGTGTGGGCATTCTGGAGAGGTGTCTCTGACATTCTGGAGAGGCCCTTGCATATTGAAGCTTCAACACCCAAATGACAATCTTGCTAATGAAAGGAGGAAGTAATCTGATGACAGCAGGGTTTACCAGCCCCTTCACTGTACAAAGAAAACCACACAAGAGAGCTTTGGATTTGTGCATGCCATTCACATTAGGCTATAAAAGAGGAAAAGGTCTTCCTTGGAGGCTGTAGTTGAAGTTTTGCGCCTTTGTCATCTTCAAATTCTTGCTAAGCAATCCCTGGGAAAAGGAAGTTATGCATGTTCAGGATGCCCCATGAGAAATCCTCCTGGATGGCTCATCTCTGGCAGGCTATAGAGCAGCTGTCTTGCAAAGGACTAGCACCAACACCTCAGCTGTTATAAAGACACTGCCAAATTCCTCAGAATTTGAAGCTAGCACATTCATTCAACATCATCTGCAAAATGCCAGACTCTAGATATGAAAAATTGTGCTCTGTATGTGTAATAAGAATTATAATGCATTCCGCTGCCATGTATTTAAAAAATAAAATCAATTAAAATATTTTTAAAAAATGCCACAGACTCTGGCTCTCTTCACTGTCTATGTTAAACATATGTTTAACTCTCTGTAAAACATGGAGACAAACATGTTATTTTTGCTGATCCTTTCACACGGTCCCTTCCCAGAACATGAACACAGACCAGATATGTTTCATATTTAAAAATATTTAAACATTTATAATGTAAAATGATACAGACAAGAGGTAAGACAGAGAGTCAGAGAGGGTTTGAAGTTCCCTCAACACTGAAGGAGAGTATTTTAGGTTTCTTGGGAGGAGGCAGAATAAGGACACTTACAAATAATCTCATTTATTAAAATACAATTATTATATGTAATATGCTAAAATACAGTAAAATAATAAGGATACTAGTACAGAACAGGTGCATAAGTTAGCAAACATACGTTTTCACATTGTAGAGATGAGGAAACCAAGGCACCAAGACAAAAAAGTGCTTGTCACAGCAGGGCTGCCCAGTGTAAGCTACCCCCAAAGCCCCAGGAGCTCTCATCAAGGGTTCACACCCCAGCTGTGTGGATCCAGTATAGTCACTTGGTGTCCTCTGCTGCTGATCTGGGTCATATAGGCTCAGGGGCTCTGGGGAAAAAGAGGAACCAGTCAGTGTTCTATTGGTCGCAGAATAATGCTGTTTACTCCCTTGGGATTTCTCTCTCCCCAGTACCTCAAAAATCAGATTTGTCCAGTCTCTGAGGGAAGTAAATGCCCTGACTTTTTCTCCCTCCCATCCAATTTTCCTGCCCTCATCAGGCTCCTCTGTGTCTCCATCAGCAGTGTCACCTGTCTCTGTTTCCACCATGGAAGGGAGTGAAAGGGCTGCAGGATTCAGGGTCAAGATCTGGAAGTGAAGTCCAGTGCTCCCTCCTCCAGAGGTAAATCATTCCCTACAGAGTGGGGGCCTCCAAGAGAAGGCATCTCCTGCTCCTGCCAGGCTGGGCATGGGACTCACACAGAGCCCTTCTCCCCCTTAGTTCACAGGCCTCCTCCCTGCAGAGGCAGGTGCTCACCCAGCAGGGCCTGCCCCACTTGCAGCTCAGCATCCCTCCCTCCCAGCCCTGAGCCAGCAGCTCCTAACTGGGCAGTCCACCAGGAAGCCTAGGGAACCAGCAGGTCTAGCCTGGAAAAGCATGCCTGCCACACAATCTGTTATAACCCTGACCTACAACAGCCCATGCAGAGGAGACTCAGAATCACTGAGCCTCTGCACCTGCCCAGGCTCTCAATCTGCACTTTTGCTTCCCCTACCTGCGTGGTTTACCTATGGCTGGGAACCCAGCTCTTCCCCAAGGGTTTCATTTTCCTGAGGCTTCCCTGGACTCCCTTCCTCCATTCCTAGCAGGGACTTCTGCAGGCCACAATCTTCACAGTCCTCAGAGGTCTTCTTCCCAAAGAAAACTAGGGTTTTGCTGAGATTCTGCAGTGTGAACTGTAGGCCCATCTTCTGTTCCTTTGCATTATTGTGGTCACAATCCAGGTCTCTCACAGGGTGCACTCCTGTAGAAGGATCTCGAAGGGTGACATTTAGTGCATATTAGTATGTGAGTGCTGGAGAACTGCTTATTCACATGATACAGTTGGAACTGGGAACATCCTTACTGATTCAACATTCAAAGTGCAAAAATAAGCAACAGGCCTTTCCCACTCTTTTCCTGGGCACTGCCCTAGTGACATTCCAGGCAACCATTTCTGACCACAAGAAAGTAGAACTAGCATTGCCCTTGTTCCCCCTCTTGGAAGGCCACAGATGGGAGGAGCAGAGACCACAGAGCTGCCTACCCTACTTGTAGACTCACCAGAATGGGCCCCTGCTATGGGACTGTGTGCCCTAGCCTGTGGAGACCAACACCCCTAGGGGCTACACTGGAAAATTCCAGACATAAGAGGAAAACAGTGACCACAGCTGCCCTAAATAGGCTGGTCTCTCTCCCCCGATGGCCAAGGACATAAGCCATTCTCCTGTCCATGTCATCTGCAAGGCCACTCCAGAAGGAAGAGCTGTATAACGGGGACAGGGTGGTGACTGGCATGCCCAAGTGACCAGAGGAGACACTCAGGAGACAGCTCCTAGGAGGGCCTGCTCTATACAGGCCTCCCAGGGGCTGCATTGACAGGGCTCTGGCCCTATGGATCTTTTTCCTGGTTTGCTCCTGACAGCCAGAGACAGTGGGGGAGAGTGAGGGGAGGGACCAGTGGCATCACCATTCATGAAATTCCTCTCCAGTTTCTAAGCACCCAAAGGTTACAACTCATTCATTCTATGTCCCCTGAGGACAAGATAATCTAGCCAGCACCAATCAGCCCTCCATTCCCAACACAGTCCTCTGGTCAACCCAGGAAAGCCTGAGAGACAGAGGGGACAGCAGAAGCCATGGCCCCCACTGCTGCTCACTCCTCACCCTGCAGCCACAGAGGCTGCATCTGGACCTTCAGAAATGTTGTCAGTCCTGGCTTTTGGCAAGACTAAGGGGTGTGGCTGGAGACAGAACTCCATCCTCTGTTCCAGAAAGCTGGTCACCTCCACTGTTCTCTGTGTAATGGGAGGTACAAGAGACCCTACATTCCAAATAGGCCCTGCAATTCCCAGCCAATGAACGCTTTTCTCACCTGAACCTTCTGTAGTAGATTTTGTCTTCCTTTTCTTGCAGGAGCAGACACAAACAATAATCATAATCAGAACACCAACAGCAGCAGCCACACCCAGGAAGGCAGCCCATTGGCTTGGAAGCATCAGTGCAGTCCCTGAAAGCAGGATTGTTACACTCTGGGTACTGAGCCTCAAGGCTTCTCCCCTCTCACCACCCTGGTCACTGACTCACCTGGTTGGGAAACCCTGCTGGGACCCCCAGGCTCCCCACAGGACACAAGGCCAGTGCTGTTGTTCCCACTGTGTCCCACATGGCAACGGAACCCCTGCTCCTGTCCTTGGGAATCCTGGTAGGCACCCAGGTCTGGTAGGTCCCATTCTCATAGGAAAAGATACCACCAGACTGCTGGGTGCCCTGGCTCAGGGGTTCCCCATCCTGAAGCCAGGTCACAGAGATATTCTGGGGATAGAAGCCAAAAGCCCAACATGTCACATTGATGGTATCCTCCAGGGCCTCAGCACAGGTCACATTCACTACTGGGGACACTGGAGGGACATAAAGGCAAAAATAGTCAGGCATGTGACCAAGCCTCACTCCCCTTCTCCATGCTTCTGACTCTGGCCTAAGACCTCATTGAAGTGAGGTCCACGAGTCTGTTTTCAACCTGGAGCCCGAGTCCTCTGACTGGCAGGAGGATGGTCACTGGGCTTGTGGCCTCACATTCTCACTTTAACGTGTTATGTTAAATAGGGGGTGTTATAGGAATTCTGGTTTGTGAGGTGATGAGGGGTATTTGAGAGTTCCAGGGTTGTGGGGGCCGGTGGGAGCTCTCTATTATAGCAGGCAGGCAGGGAGGTGAGGGCTCACTAGTGTCTGGGCACATACACCCTCCTGTCTCTATCTAGCGGTGTGACAGGACAGGCAAATCACAACACAATAAACGCACACAAGGTCCTCTGGGCAGAGGCTCCAGGGGAGTAGGAAGAGCCCTTCCAGAAGACTAGATATCTCCTGAGTCTTCCACAAAGCTCTCCCTGCTCATGGGCCCAGTAATCTTTGCTTTGCATGCCATCTGCATCCCAGGAATTCTTGACTTCCATAGCCAAGTTCTGAGCTGAGGATGGCTCCACTGTCCAGCTGCGTCTCTCTGGATGATAGGAGAGGAAGGGCTCCCCATCATAGTAGAAATTCCAGAAGGCCCTGGTGCGGTTGTCCTTGTGAATCTTGCATCCCCAAGTCTCCTGGAGGAAATGAGACCCTGCCCCCACCCACCAGTCACTTCTCCATCCCCTGGGCTCTCTGCCTCCCTGCCCACCAAGTAAAAAATACTAGCCCACAGGGCACCCCAAACTGGCTCTCCTCCAAGTCCACTGTGCTGATCTGTATAAAGCCCATTTCTTGCCCTCCCCAGTCAATTGCAGTGAGAAGACACAGGTCCTGGAGAAAGCCTCACATCACACTTGCCCCTGCCCACACTCACCTCCTTTCTGCTCTTGCCAGGCATTGATATCTGCCAGGGTTGCTTTTAGATTCTTGCGGTGCTCTGCCAACTCTTGGATCTCTGTGTCCCAATTTTCAGTTCCCAAAGGTTTTTCTGCCCATGGCCCCTGGGGCTTTACACTTTCTTTTTTGTCACTATCAAAATGACGGAAGAGCTGATGGTCCCAATAACCCTTGGCACAGGACCTTGATTGCACTGATCCACCTTGGGACCTCACTGTGAGGTTATAGTGAAGACTGTGGGTCCCTGTGGAAGAGGAAGCAACAGATGACCCTTCTACCTGTGAACAAGTGCTCACCAATGCGCACCACAAAGGCTCTGCTGTCCTGAGCACCTGAGGAGGAAGCAAATGTACACAGACAAAGGGACAGAAGAAAGGTTCCCAATACAAAGAAGACAGGAAAGTAGAGAGGAAGGAGAGGGGAAGTGAGGAACGGAGAAAGGGGAAATGGAGATGGGCAGGCAAGTTGGCCAGGGCCCAAGACATAGGCATGGGTTCTTAAGGGTACAGGTGGGTGTTCAAGGGGAGAGGTTGGCCTGCAGAGGCAAGGGAGGTGTGGGAGGGGCAGAGGTGCATGGCAGGGCTTGTCAGAGGGCAGAGAGGGCACAGGAAGGGCAGAGGGTAGGTGGACCTATGGTCACTGAAGTGGAGCCCAGGCAGGGCAGGTTCCCAGAGGGTGTGTGTGCTGTCTATGTGCAGACTTCTCATGGATAAGGTGAGGCAGACAGGGGGTCAAAGTGAGTGTGAAGGTTGTGGCCCCAAAGTGTTGAGTGGGGTTGTACCCTAAAGGGAAGTGAAACAGTGGGCTTGGTCCAAAGTAAATGATCAGCATCTGGAAGCCTCAAGTGGGGGACTTAAATTGTACTAGTAGCATCTCGTGAGAAAAAGCAGGTGGCAGTGTTTCTAAAGACCTGATGTAGCTTTTCTTTTTTCTTCATGTATTTATTTATTTATTTATTTATGTATTTATTTATTTATTTATTTAATTTGTTCTAATTAGTTATATGTGACAGTAGAATGTATTTTGACCCATCATACATATATGGAGTATATATAGCTTCTCATTGCTTTGGTTGTATATGATGTAGAGTTATACCGGTCGTGTAATCATATATGCACATGGGTAATAATGTCCGATTCATTCTACTATCATTCTTTCTCCATACCCGCTCCCTTCCTGTCACTTGCCTCCAGCTAATCCAAAGTAACTCTATTTTTCCATAGCCCCCCACAAACACATTGTATCTCACCAATAGATGTGCTAGAAAATTTGGATTTTCACAAACAATGAAGATGGATCCTTTAGTTAGTTACTCATGTATAGAAATTAACACAGGTCTGGGGATGTAGCGCAATGATAGAGTTCTTGCCTAGCTTCTGCAAATGCCTGCATTCCAATACTCTGAGTGTGTGCCCTCATGTGTGTGTGCGCACACACACACACACACCACACACAAACTCAAAGTGAAAAAAAATGCAGACTATAAAACCAAACATTCTTATAAGAAAACACACTGACTGGTACATATTGTGATATGTGCCTGTAATCCCAGATACTCAGGAAACTTAAGCAGATGAGTGGAAGTTAAAAGCCAACCTGGACAACTTAGCAAGACCCTTTCTCAAAATAAAAATTTAAAAGGCCTGAGGGTAGCTCAGTGGGGACCACATACTAGAATGTGAGAGAACCTGGGTTCACCTCATGGTACAAAAATAAAACAAATAAAAAGTATGTATAATATATGATAATCTTCAAAACAAAGGATTTAACCACATTTTCCATATGGTGCCAAAAGCACACAGTAGAGAAAAAATTGATAAATTAGACTCATCAAAATGAAAACATAAAAACATCTATGTACCAAAGGTCACCCACAGAAATGGTGACGTGTGAAATGGGAGAAAATATCTGCAAGTCATATATCTAATAAGAGATGAACATTCAAATATATCAATGTATCTTGGGTTGGGGTTAGCTCAGCTATAGAACACCTGCCTAACATGTACAAGGGCCTAAGATTGATCCCAGCTCCATAAAACAAGCAAACAAAAAAGAATCTCAAAAACTCTAAAATAAGAAAAATGATGAATCTATTCAGAATTGGGCAAAGTATCACTACAGCCAGTTGTCTGATAGATATACAAATAGCCAATAAGCACATAAAGAGACACTCAACATCAGCAGTCATTAGGGAAATGAAAATAAATGCACAGTGACATTCTACTTTGTACCCATGAAGATGACTACTATTTAGAAAAAAGAATGTAGAATGAACAAGTTCATAACTACAGAGAAAACTGCAGCACGGTGCATTGCTTGCCTACATATACAATGGAGCAGCTGCTATGAAAATGGTATGGTGGTTCCTCCAAATATGGAAAAGATACTTTCTATATAATGCAGTAATTGTATATCTGGACATAAACACAAAAGTTGTGAAGACAGGGAAATCCAGAGGTATGTGTACACCCACATTCATAGCAGCATTGTTCCCAAAATCCAAAAGGTACAAGTAACCACAGTATTTATCAACTGATGAAAACCTAATCACAATATGGCTTATATGTGAAATGAATATTATTTAGCATTGAAAAGGAAGGACATTCTGACAATTGCTACACCATGGATGATCTTGAGGACATGAGCTAAGTGGAAAAGCCAGTCATGAAAGGACAAATTCTGTATGATTGCACTTGTATGGAATCTAGGGAGTTAAATTCATAGAGACAGAATGTAGAATGCTGGCAGAGAGACGACAGGGACTGGGTTGTGGGGATGGATGCTTACTGTTTAATGGGTACAGAGTTTCAGTTTCCACAAAAATGTGAACACACTGAATGGCACTGAATTGTACACTTAAAATGGTTAAAATATGAAGCTGTATATTATGTCTATTTTACAATTAAACACCAAATAGAAATCAGGGCAGTGTATTACAGATTAATGCAGAATCAGAGAGAAGACGGAGTAGAGGCCTGGGAAGAGAGGATCAAGGCAGGTGGACAAGTTGCACCACCTGGGGGAGGCCCTTCAGAGTGGGAGGGTATGTGATAGGAAGAGTTGATGTGAAGATAAAAGAGCCAAACAATTAAAAGAAAAAGAGAAAAGACTGAAATTAACAAAATTAGAAATAAAAAAAAATGAAATCACTACAGATATCCCAGAAATCCAGAGAATTATTAGGGACAGTTTTGAAAACCTATATTCTAACACTTGGAAAACCTAGAAGAAATAGATATATTTCTAGACACACATGACCTTCCAAAATCAAATCAATAAGACAGAGAAAACTTATACAGACCAATAAATTAAAATGAGATAGAAGCAGTAATAAAAGCCATCTGCTATGCTTTAAATACAAAGAATTCCCAAAAGCTCATGTATGCGACAATGTAAGGATTTCTAGAGGTGAAGTGATTAGAGAGGCAGTGACCTAAGCAGTGGATTAATTCAGAGGTAACTTTATGTGGGTAGGGGGCTACCTGGTTTAAGTCACTGCAGATGTGCCTTAGGGCTTATATTGTATAAATGAAGCTCTCTCTGCTTCTTGATCGCTATGTCCTGAGCTGCTATTCTACTCCATGCTATTCCACCATGATGTTCTGCCTCACTTAGGGCCCAACATAGTTAGCCATCTATGGATTGAGATCTCTAAAATCATGAGTACCAAATAAACTTTTCCTCCTCTAAAACTGTTCTTGTCAGAACTTTTGGTTACAGTAACAAAAAGGCTGACTAAAAGACCATTCAACAGAGAAAACCCCAGGAACACAATGATTCTCAGCTGAATTCCACCAGAACTTCAAAGCAGAACTCATGTCCAATGCCCTTCAAATTACTTAAAAAATAGTATGTGGATAAAAAACACTTCAAATTCATTCTATGAAGACAGTATCACCATCAGACCAAAGCCAGTATCACAACAGATCAATATCTCTGATGAACTTAGATAAAAAAAATTCTTAATAAAATATTAGCAAACTGTATTCAACAACATATTAAGATGATTATGCATCATGACTAAGAAGAATTTATCCCAGTGATGCAGTGATGGTTCAATGTTCTCAAAGCAATACATGTAATATACCACATGAATTGAATTAAGGAGAAAAAATCATACTCATCATAATAGATGCAGAGAAAGCCTTCAACAAAATTCGGCATTCATTCATGATAAAGACACCAAGGAAACTAGGCATAGAAGGAACTTACCTCATCATAAAGTCTATATTCAACAAAGCCAAAGCCAACATCATAGTGAATGGGAAAAAACTGAAAGCATTTCCATGAAAATTTAGAACAAGAAAAGGATGTCTACACTCATCACTCCTATTCAATACACTACTAGAAATTCTAGACAGAGCAAATAGGCAAGAGAAGGACATCAATGGGATAAAAATAGAAAAAGAAGAAGTTGAATCATCAATGATTGCAAATTTAACAATTCTATACTTAGAAGATCCAATACCCCAATAATAAATCACCTGAGAAAGAAATCAGAAAATCAACACCATTCATGATAACCTTGAAAAAGAAAATACCTTGCAGTAAATCAAACCAAGGAGGCAAAAAACCTCTACAATGTAAATCATAGAACATTGAAGAAAGAAACTGAAGAAGACACAAGAAGACGGAGAGACCTCCCACGTTCAGAGATAAGCAGAATGAATATTGCTAAAATGAACATAAAACCAAAAGTAATACACAGATTCAATGTAATCCCCATCAAAATACCCCAATGAGATTTTTTTTTCACAGAACTACATAAAATAGTTCTAAAGTGCCTTTGGAAGAATGAAAGACCCAGAATACCCAAAGCAATTCCGACCCTAAAAATCAATGTTGGAAGGATCACAAGACCTGACTTCAAACTATACTACAGAGCAATAGTAACAAAAAGTGCAATAGTAACAAAATAGTAACAATAGTAACAAAAAGATTTTATATATATATGTATATATATATATATATGCTCTTGATATATACATATACAATCAATCATATATAGAGAGAGACATATATGTATATATATAAAGCGAACATATATATATATGAATATATATATATATAATGACACATAATGACACAGAGACAAACTCACACAGATTATAGTCATCTGATCCTTCATAAAGTTGCTAAAACACACATTGGAGAAAAACAGCCTTTTCAACAAATGGTACTGCAAAACAGGCTGTCCATATGTGAAAAAAATGAGGCATGATTTTTATTTCTCACCCTGTACAA